GCACCTCGTTGCTGGAATAAATGATTTCAACAGAGCCGTAAAGATCCCTGCATTACATTTATTGCATTGCATAATACAGTAGACCCCCTCTTAACCGACCTCGTATTAACCGATACTCGGATTATCCGCCTTCGATCGTAAAATAATGCAGTTTGTTTTAACCGACCTTGCTTTGAGAGCAGCTCGGTTTAACCGCCGCTTTCTAGGAATCTCGGCATTTCCGCTCCCACGCTGGGCGATGAGAACTGAACCATACGCTTATCTCCACAGGATATGACTAACAATAAGTTATTTTGTGTTGATCACAAAAAATATAGCATAGCCTATTGTCAGTTTGTCATCATCGTTCGTAGCTATATCTGTATTCGAGCACATCTGATCTGATTTGTTAAACTTATCTGCGCGGCAAATTTATAACATCATAAAGTGCGTCACGATTTTGAGAACTGATTATCTTATCGCCGGAGTAAACAAACAATGCAACTTGTAGGGATGGGGGGTTAACCAATCCAAGGTCAAGATAGTTTTTGTGCCTCGAGACTCCAGTGAGAGGCTATAAATAAACATCCTGTCTTGTAACAAAATGGTCGCTTGTATCTAATGTCAACAAAAGGTTCTGTACTGTATTACAATGTATTTGGAAAGCATCAATTAATACATTACAGTACTAAAGTTATTAAAATAGGAATTTTATTGACTTTTGCCTAGTATTATAATATATTCCACTGAAAATAGGCCTATTTGACTTAACCGTGTTTTGTGTTTATTTGTGACTTTTCTACCAATATGAAAAAGGAGATAAGAGTAGTTTATTTTACAAATAATGCTAGTATGACTTCAAAATAATGATTATATAATTCCAAATGAATAGCACTTCATCATGTTATGATTTTAGGGATTGCCCGTTTTATCCGACCTTTTGCGTTATCCGACCTAGGTCCGGTCCCATTAGGGTCGGTTAAGAGGGGGTCTACTGTATTTATATCACAACCGATGTGCCTTAAATATTTGGGATCAGAACAGTTTTATAATAATACTAGCTTGGTACCCGTCCTTCGTACGGGGTTGCTATACAATGCATATTGTAGTTAAATACTCGTGCTCTGCATTTGCAATGAGAGAGGACACGTTTTGAGAAAATTTGGTTTACTATAATCTACGGTATATACTATAGTATATAGAACATCTACCATAGCCATAATGTTCTACCACTTCACCTAAACAATAGAAAGAAGTAAAGTTCTAACACTCAGGTTTTTGTTGCTGCTTGGTTCAAATTAGCTGTTGTCATAAATGTATAAAGAACTAATGGTGCTGCACCCTGTTGATAAGCCGTATAACCTTTTAATGCTATTGAATATCATAGAAACAAATTGTGTAGTTGAAACAGCTGGCAAAATTATTTAATTCCTTTTAAATATGAATACTCATTAGGTTAACATGGAAACTCTAGAGCCGCTGGGGCGGAGCCCAAAAGGATTTTTGAGGTAAGAATATGTCTATATGTTAATCGGGAATGTGAGCTATCATCATACCAAATTTCAACACAATCCGACCAGTAGTTAATGCGTTATTGAACTTCAAACAAACAAATAACAAACAAACAAACAAATAAACAAACAAACACACAAACTTTCACGTTTATAATATTAGTATGATTGTTGATTAACATCTATTATATTATTAAAGTGATACAATCAAATTTTATGTAAACGATTAAGGTCATTTACCAAATAAAAATATAGGCGTACGACACATCAAAATGAAGCTTAGAGTGTGTAGATTTGCCGAAAAGTATTGATATGAAGGAATTTACTAAGGGCTCTGCCCCACAGGCTGATTTACAAAGGGCTACACCTAATATTTAGCAGCAATTAGCAAACCTTTGTTAACCTTGTTTAGTATAATAACACAGGATTATTATATTTTGGATTGAGCCTAATTACAACGGTCTACGTACACGTTAGTGATATAGTAATATTGTTGATTAACATATTATTGTACTACTCGGGAACGACTAATTTACGACGATCGTTAGGCTAACATATTATCAGAACTTTGTTTACGTATTGTGATTGTAAACATTGACTATTGGGTTATCATTTCAGTGGTTTAAATATCATACTAAACATTTGTGATTGGTTACGAGCATCCCACAGCAGTTCAACCGTCTTTTACGTATACTTCCACAACAACTTTTGCTGTTTTCCAAATAATAGTTTTAAAATGAGTCCTTGGGAATTATTGCTGTGCCTTCAGTCGTATCTTTTCCCAGTGTGCTGACGCCAGACGAGTCAGGGAAAAGACTATCGCGCAAAAACAAGGACCCGCCTCCAACTACTACCGCTTCCGCTGTCACTACCACACCCGCTGTCACTACCGCTCCCACCGTTACTATCACACCCGCCATTACCACCGCTCCCACTGTTACCACGACAACTGCCGTTACCACTTCAACATCTGTCGCTATAGCAACCACCGCTGCTGCTGCGGTTACCTCCGCAGCACATTATTGTCTACGGAATCGTCCGTGCCGCGCACACCCTTTGACGATCCGCGCGTTGGGTGGATTTATAGACTGAGCAAAGAGGAGCTGCAGAATGAAATGAGTAAGTACGGCCTTTCTACGGCTGGAACGGCGAAGGAACTTAGGAAGTGTTTTGTGGATTTTTGGCAATCGCCATTTTCCACAATTCTCCGTACTGAACCCTACCGGATGGTTGACCCTCCGCGTACCCTCGATATCCCGTTGGCAAAAGTTATGTGCCGGAATACACGTCCAAGTATACAATGGTCGTAATACTTAATATTTTTGATACTACAGTAAATAATAAGATTCTGTTTAGGCCTGAAGTAGTTGAATTGTTTTTCTGGTAGTTGGAGAGGATTGGTATTTGAATTTAGATTATTTATTTACCATTAGATTAGTACTGTTATAATTGATTGTTAATATGATTAAAATTAGTTTTAGATTATTTTATTAATTTAAAGTTGGATAAAAATACATGTTTCACACAACTATGATAGAAACCCTAATTTCCTGAACTGAGTGGTAGTAGTTTTTTTCCTCAGTTTGTTACCGGGACATTACAGGATATCCAGTGGATTTTTTTACATGTCCCGGGATGTCATGGGACATTCTAGGATATCCTAAGGCATTCGTACATATCCCGACACTTTACAAGATATCCTGAGGTTAACTTATAAATCCCGGGACATTACGGTATATTGTAGGATATCGTGTGGATTTTGCACTCGTCCCGGGATTTTGCGGGATATCCTGAGGGTAGCGTACATATCCGAGACATTCTCAGGACATATGGGACTACAATGGGATATCCCTGGGATAAAGTGTGCTGTTTGGGTGTAGTCTTGTTAGTGGCTAAGGCCGACATATTCCTTAGACACAGCTGTTAATTAATAGCCCATACAGCTAATGACAACTAAAGCGGTGTTTACACTGTCGTGGGGCCACGGATAGATTCAGGCAAGTAGGTGAGAAATTTTCTCACTTTCTTGAGAAGTGTGGCCACGCCTCGTGTAAACAGTGGAGACGCGGGAGCAACAGACGTGGCAACCCAATACGTCTGTTCCCCACGCCCTTTAGGACTATCCAAAATGTGTTTGGTTGCTACGCCTGTGTTGGCTAGACGAAGTGAGGAGTGATTGTCTTCCGTCCCGTTGTTGTGTGTACTACGAGTTTCAACTATTGTTCTTTAAAGTCAGTGGTTGGTTGTCGTCTTAGTTTTTAAGTACCATGGCAAAAATATCACAAGTCGAATCAATTGAAACAGTGAAAACAAAGCTATCTTTAAAATTAACGGAAGGTCAAACAATTCAATTGCTTGAACTGTATCAAAGTGAACCTTGTTTATTTTATATAAATATTGAAAGCTACAGCTTGGTTTCTTTCTTTTAATAACACTTAAATTCTGTGCTATTTCTTCAGCTAAAATAACACTCATTGTAGTACAACCTTCAATTTCCCGTGCGGTACCGGGTTAGAATAGCACCGCAGCATTCTCGGGCTTGTCGTAAGAGGCGACTAAAAGGGTGACCGACAAACTCACTGGGAGTCCCTGGGAGTGCCCCTGTTGTGTTGCAGGGGTTGATGTGTGCTCTGCACTGCCGATGGGTATTCTCAGTGGGTCGTGAGAAGCCAGCTACTTCGGTCCTTGGTCAGGGAGTGCGGCATGGATGTAGAGGTCGGGCTCTGCATTGCGACGGACGACCCCCGGCACGTCAGGTATCCGGTGCTGGGCAAACGGAGGCCAGGCCCTGGGGAACTGGGGTAGGGGTTTTTGTCCCCGAGGGTATACCCGTTCCTGACTGATTCCGGGCCGCTCCTTGCCGCACGATGCACTGGAATAAACACGATGGCTTTAAATAAAAACCCCCAAAACACATTTTTGATAAAGAGCTCAAATGAGCCAGAAAAGACGTTGGAAGTGGAGCGGAACGCTTTTGTCCGTAGCTCCAAGGTTCAGAGGTCGCCACCACCGAAAAACGAGAGGACATCTCCCCCACCTGCTACCTTCAAATGCACTAAGGAGTTCCCTCTCTTAGGAGCCAGCAACTCCCCTGGCGATCAGTTCTGCTGTAGGGATGCCGGAGGAGCCTTTTACAGCACCGTTGAGGTCGGAAGGCTCTGAGATGGTGCTTCTGTGTCAGGAATATCTTGACGCAGAGAGTGACATTGAAACCCGGCTCCAAGACATGGAAGCTACGATCAAGGCTATGATGGACACCTTCCGGACCCAGAGAGCCGTAAATCAAGTGGTCAAAAACGGCATGGCCAAACTGGAGAATGACCTTGGCTTTGTTTTTGCCTGCCGGTAGGTGAGCCAGGCGGCCATGGAGAAGATTGCCGAGAAGGTTGTGTCTCTGTCTGACGAAAGAACACTGCCTTCTAAGAAACGTAAGAGGCCTTCCACATCTGACAGTCTCTAAAGAGAAGAAGGCGTCCAGACCAAAAAGACCACGGTAAAGGCCAAGGCGACTCAGACGGACATATTGTCTGCTGCGCCCAGATCCTTTTCGGACATAGCTGCAGCTAATGTAAAGAACCAACAGCCACAGCTACCTACGACCCCCCTTCGGGGAAGTTCCCGAAAGGGTTCAGTTGTAGAGACACTTGGGGCTGCGTGGGAAAAACGCTGTTCCCGAAAGGAGAAGAGGCAATCGAGGCGGGCAGAGGTCGCCTCTATAAAGAATGTGGCAGTAAAGGCACAGCCGACTGGCGTCGCCCAAACTGGGCCCGGCTCGGTCTCTGCTCCGAAAAAGCCCAGGACGGAGGCAATCCTGGTCAAGCCCTCAGGGGGGAGATCTTTCGCCGAGGTCTTGGGTGCAATTAAGGCCAGGGCTAAGCCAGAGCAGACCGATACGGTTGTACGGTCGATTAGACGAACCCGGGACGGGGACGTTTCTCCGTGAACTGGGTAAGTCGAAAGACAAAGCAGCCTTTACTGCCGAACTGAAGGCAGCTGTTGAAGGCCAGGGCACCGTCCGTGCTCTTGAACCAAAGACATCAGTCGAGGTTCGAGACATTGATTGTGTGTCGACGGAGGTTGATGTTGTTGAGGCCCTGAAGAAAGCTATCCCGAGCTTGGCAGGCAAACGGCTTTTTTAAGGTGTGGCTCACAAAACCGAATAGGAGTCAGCAGCGGATGGCGGTCGCCGAAATGGCAGACGCACATGCCACTAAGGTGCTGGCACTCCAGCATCTGAGAGTCGGCTGGGTCAACTGCAGGCTCAGACGGAGAGTGGAAGTGAAGAGGTGTTTTAAATGCCTCTGATTCGGCCATTGCTCCCGAAACTGCAAGGGACCCGACCCAAGCAAGAACTGTCTTCGATGCGGGGAGGTCGGTCCACATCCGCAAGGACTGCCAAGTCGAGTCCTGTTTCCTTTGCAAAGAAAATGGGCTAGCTGACAAACACTTGAAGCATATAGCTGGGTCTGGACAGTGTAGTGTATTCAAATCTGCACTACAGCAAACG